CTTTTTTTAGGAGAGAACAAATGCACTAGGAGCACATAACAAAGTTGGAAGCTAACTATTATTAGGGTCACTTCTTCATCCTTTGCTTTGCTATTTTTATTTACTTGTTTATGAATTCTAGCTTTTGTAATAAGATTACGAGTGGATAATCTATCTATCAATTTGTTGATGCAGAACAATTGATAGTGAAAGATTGAAGAAGAAGAAGAAGAAGAAGAAGAAGAAGAATGTTATTGAGAGAGATTCCTCCTCATGTCTTTTACAATTTTGTATATTACTCTACAATGTACAAACTACTCATGTATATATACAATCAATTAGCTAACTAACAATGTTAATGCACCAATCATAAAAGGACAGCTGGCTAACAAACTAAGCTTAACAATTAACAACTAACAACTAACAACTAACTAGTTAACTAACTAATTGAACTTTACTTACTTTAACTAACTAACCAATTCAACTCTTATCAATACTTTTATCATATTCCTCAATACCCCCCTTCAAGCTAGGAGATATGAAGATGTCCTTCATTCCGAGCTTGGAAACCAAATATTCATGTTGCAGTCGACCAAGTCCTTTAGTGAATACATCAGCAGGTTGTTCAGTAGTAGCCAAGTGTTGAATGAATATGAAACCTCTTTGGACCTTTTCTCTAATAAAATGACAATCAATGTCAATATGTTTGGTCCTCTCATGGAAAACAGGGTTAGAAGCAATCTGAATAGCACCAGTGCTGTCACTATGTACAACAATAGGCAAGACAATAGGCATGTCTAATTCACGAAAGAGACCAATTAACCATGTAACTTCAGCAACAGTAGAAGCCATGCTTCTATATTCTGCTTCAGCAGAACTCCTGGATACTGTAGATTGTTTCTTAGACTTCCAAGAAAGTAAGGATTTTCCAAATGTAACCATGTATCCAGTAATGGATCTCCTAGTATCAGGGCATGATCCCCAATCCTGTAAAGAACCAGAATTCTGAGCAGATAACAGAATACCTAGGCCAGGTTGTTGTTTAATATATCTGACAACTCTAATAGCAGCATTCATATGAGATTGTTTAGGAGCATTCATGAATTGGCTTAATTTTTGAACAGCATAGGACAAGTCAGGTCTAGTAATGGTTAAGTAGATCAATCTCCCAACCAATCTTTGATACTCACCAATATCTGATAACACAAGATCAGATGTAATTCCTACATGCTTGTCAAAAACTGCAGTAGTGAGATTTCCATTCATCTCAACAGGTGTGGCAATAGGTTTAGATCCACCTAAACCCAAGTCTGAAATAATCTCCAATGCATACTTTCTTTGATGCATGAGGATTCCTTCCCTGTTTCTGGCAAACTCTATCCCTAGGAAGTATCTCAATGATCCTAGATCTTTGATCTTGAAGTTATCCTTTAAGACTTGTTTGGTGTCATTAATTAGTGTGATGTTACTGCCAGTGACTAACAAATCATCAACATAAACCAAAACAATCACAATACCTTCATTAGACTTCTTGATCAATAAAGAGTAATCCAAATGGCTTTGCTGAAATCCAGCAGCTAATAGTGCCTGAGTCAATTTCACATTCCACTGTCGTGAAGCTTGCTTAAGTCCATACAATGACTTAAGCAACTTACACACAGGTTGATTCCCAGCATGCAGATGAGAGAATCCTTGAGGTATCTGCATATAGACTTCTTCTACCAAGTCACCTTGCAAGAATGCATTATAAACATCCATCTGTTGGACATCCCATCCCTTAGATGCAGCTAAAGTGAGCACTGTTCTAACTGTGACCATTTTAACAACTGGAGAAAATGTCTCCTGGTAATCTAAACCTTCTTGCTGGCTGTATCCTTTGGCTACAAGTCGAGCTTTGAATCTTTCAACTTCACCATTTGCCTTGTACTTAATCTTGTACACCCATTTGCAACCTATAGCCTTTTTTCCAATAGGTAAAGTTACTACCTCCCAGGTCTTATTCTCTTCCAATGCCTGTATCTCTTCTTTCATGGCTGCTACCCACCTCTTATCTTTGGCAGCTTGATGGTAGAACTTAGGCTCAGTGTCAACTGAAAGATTAGCAATGCAACATTGATAAGAGGGAGACAAATTCCTGTAATCAATGTTATTTTCCAGACAGTACAAACAATTGGATCTTGATCTAGACTTGAATGTGGTAACAAAATCCTTTTGCCAAAGAGGAGGCCTAGAAGTTCTAGTTGATTGTCGTCTGTTGGAGCTCAAAATTGAATCATCTATGGTTGGTTGATCCTGTTGATGATGATCCTCAATATCATCAAATCTGACTGGAAAATCTGAAGGTGTAGACACGTAATTTTGACCGAATTTAAGTTTAACACCAATTTTAAAGCATAAATAATTTTATCAATCTAAATTAAATATATTTTGATTTTTTTTAATTTTTTCATTAAGTTCATTTAAAATATATAAAAATAAACAACATAAATATATTTTTCATTAGAAAAGTTTATTTTGATTGTAAAAAAAAAAAGAAAAAAAAAGATATATATATATAGATTGCATAACTAATATTTCTTAATTTTATATATATATATTATTTATATTTTTTTTATTTTATTTTATTTATTTTATTATTATTATCCATTTAGCTTTTATTTATTTATTTATTCAAAAGAATTAATTAATAATTTAATAATTATCATCTATATATATTTAATATTAAAAAAAAGAAGAAGAAAAAACCCACGATTTCCATTTACCCATTACCCTCCACTTCACCACTCACACCACACGACACACACAGACATTCCTACAAATGCACACACACGGATAGAGAGCAAGGGAAGATCAGCAAACAGAACGAAAAAAAAAAGACACGAGAAGGAGAGAAAAAATAAGAAGATAAAGAAAGAAAAAGAGGAAAAATTCTGTAAGTAAAAAAAAGGGAGAAGAAACAACAAAGAATTTTCTTTTCGGAAGAACACACGCACAAAGAAACCAAAGGTTGAAGTTGAGGTTTACTTTCGCGGTTCCTTATTCGCATTGTTTTCTTTTGGTGAAATAATTTCCACAAGAGGTAATACTAATTTAATTTTGTATTAGTTTTATGTCATGATAATGCGAGAATGAATTGCAATATATATTAAAGTTGTTAAATTTCGCGTATGTTTAAACCATTAATATTTATTCATGTTATTGTATGAAGTATGTTCAAACGTTCATATCAGTTATATGTTTAGATCTTGGTATAATTATATTTAGTGTGAAATCATTATATCAAACCATGATTTATTTTATATTTAAATAACCCATAGTTTATTTTATATTTAAGTAAAATTATTGTCCAAGTCATGTAATTTTTAATATTTAGTTTATAATGATAAAATGTGTAGCTATTATGTAAATATATTAATTTTAGTTAGTAGAATTTTTATTTAATGTTAGTGACATAAAAAATATCGAATAAAAAATGAAAAAATATAATAATAATAATAATAATAAAAGGAAAAAGGGAAAAGTTGAAAAAAAAATAAACTGTGAAAAAGAACATACAAACAAAGAGGGAAGAGAGAAAACAAAAAAAATAATAGAAAAGGAGTATAAAAATAATATAAAAAATTCAATTGAAGAGGAAAGAATTTTTTATATTTATTTTCTCAAAAATTTCTTTGTCCAAAAAAAAATTAAGTTAAAAAAAAAACCTTGAAAGTATAAAAAATAATAATAACAATAAATAATAATAATAGCAAAAGATGAGAAAGTATAAAAAAAATGTAAAAAAAATAGAATAAAAAATAATAATAATAATAATAAAAACAAAAGAAATAATAATAATAATGAATATCTTATTTTATTCTGATTTGCTTGATTTAATTTGTATGTGTATATACATATTTTAATTAAAGGACATAGATTAATAAAATAAGGTAGTTTTAATATATTTATATAAGTCAAAGAATGAGGGTAAATATATTTGTCTTAATAATACAATATTCATAAATTAGTTTAAGTCATAAATGTCCATAAAGCGACCGTGCTAGAACCACGGGACTCGAGGGATGCCTAATACCTTCCCCTTGATCAACAGAATTCCTTACCCGAACTCGTTCGCAGACCAAACAAAGAGTCATTTCCTTTTGATTAGGGATTAAACAAAAAAGGTGACTTGGAACACCGTAACTCAATTCCAAGTGGCAACTCTGAAAAAATCAAAATAATCCCCTAATTAACAACGTCACTTAAATTGGAAAAACCCTTACGCCGCCGCGCGAAAAAGGGGTGTGACAGAAGGTTCAATCGATGATACACTGTCTTGTATGTCATCAAAACACTGAGTTTGAAAAGGAAAGATAGATTCATTAAAAACCACATCTCTACTGACAAAGAAGACTCTATTTTGTAGATCATAGAGTTTGTATCCCTTCTGTCTAGTACCATAACCCATAAGTACTGATTTGATGGCTCTAGGACCAAATTTATCAGATCTCAACAATGTAGTTACATAACACAAACATCCAATGGTCTTCATGTAAGACAAATCTGGAGGTTTACCAAACATCACTTCAAAAGGAGACTTATTAAGTAACACAGTGGATGGAATTCTATTGATGATATGAACAACAGCTAAAGCACATTCTCCCCAAAATCTGATTGGAATATTGCCTTGAAATCTAATAACTCTTGCTGTCTCCATTATGTGTCTATGTTTTCTTTCCACTACACCATTTTGTTGAGGTGTATATGGACAAGAACTCTGATGTATAATTCCTTGAGATTCAAACAGTTCATTCACTTGAGTATTAAAAAACTCTCCACCATTATCTGATCTAAAGACTTTAACTTGAACATTGAATTGAGTCTTAACCATAGCAAGGAATTGTTTCAATATAGTAGAGACATCAGACTTGAGATGCATGAGATATATCCATGTCCATCTAGAGTGATCATCAACCAAAGTAAGAAAGAACTTCATTTTATTATGAGTTGTAATCTTGTAAGGTCCCATACATCCATGTGAACTAAATCAAAACATTGTGTACTTCTAGTATTGCTATTAGGAAATGGTAGTCTGACCTGTCTAGCTAATGGACAAATAGTGCAACATTTCAACTGAAAATCCCTTTTATGAGCAAATATGTCTATCTTCCTGAGAACACTCATAGGAATGTGACCTAGCCTCTTATGCCAAACTTCACCTTCAGCAGAATTCTTTATTGCAACAAAACTTCTATGCTGCCCATTGTCTATCAGTTGTGATGACTTTAAGATGTATAGACCACCTTTTTCTTCACCAATCTCCTTTACTTTCCCAGTGAAGAGATCCTGAAGGAGAAAGAAATCAGGATAGAAAATTGCACAATAATTCAATTGCCTAGTAAGTTTAGCCACTGAAAGAAGATTGAAGTTAAGTTCTGGCACATATAAAACATTCTTAACTACTTCACCTCCTTGTAGTTGAGAGCAGCCTGAATGTGTGACTTTAGTTGAATCACCATTTGGGAGCTGTACATTTCCTGAACTCTTTACTGTTGATCCATGAGTTAGCAAGTCTTTAGTTCTCACCATATGATCAGTTGCCCCACTATCAACAATCCAATCAAAACTAGAAGTTGAAGGAGTAAACTGAGAATGTCCTGCAAATATACCTGTTGTATTGGCACTACTATTGGTAGATACTGTATTTCCCTCATGAATCAATGACTTGTTCATCATCTGTAAAACTTGTTGGTATTGATCAGGTGTAAAATGTTGAGATAAAACAGCTCCTGAACCACTTGAACTTGGATTACTTTCATATTGTTGTGACATCTGATATGAACCACCACTCTTAAACTGCTGCATCTGATCTACAACATTACCATTAGTTGAGCTACCTGGATTGTTAAATTGAGGATTGTAGTTTGTTGTCATAATATTTGCTTGTCTCTTCCCCTTATAATTGGTAGGATAGCCTATTAGCTGATAGCAAGATTCCTTTAGATGTCCATGTTTGTGACAGTGAATACAGTACTTCAGCTTGTTACAATCAGCTCTATTGTGGCCTTTCATATCACAATGATCACAATACAAATATCCACTTCTCTGTTTGTTAAACTTCACATTGCCACTTCGATTACTCGGACCACTAAAATTGTTCCCTCCGGATCTACTAGTGAACAAAGCTGTAGGATCCATTTGCCCTCCTAGATTATAGTGATATCCACTTAACTCTCTTTGACTTTCATCTTGAATTATCATAGCATAACATTGATTTACAGTTGGAGGTGTATTCATCATGAGAATTTGGCTTCGAGCATGACTATAATTGTCATTCAAGCCCATCAAAAACTGCAGAAGCTTCTGTCTAAGCATGCTATCAACATATTCTTTAGATCTTTCACAATTACAAGATGGAGGAGGAACAATTGAATCAAATTCATCCCACAGATCTTTCAACTTGGAATAGTATACTGAGACTGGAGAAGTACCTTGAGTATGTGTAACAATCGACTTGTGTAAGTGAAATATCCTAGACATATTCACTTTGTCAAATCGTTCCTTCAGATCACTCCAAACCAGTGATGCATTAGAACGAAATAGGATTTCACTCATCAATTCCTTGCTCACATTGTTCATAAGCCATGAAAGCACCATTGCATTACATCGATCCCACTGTTTCTTCTCAGAATCGACTGTGTAATCTTCACGTTTGATGCTGCCATCAATAAATCCCTATTTGTTCTTTGTTAGCAATGTTAACTCCATTGCCCTGCTCCACAAAGTATAATTCTCCATTCCTACAAGTTGAATCCCAATTTGAATTGCACCTGTGACATCAGAAGAAGACAAATACAGAGGGTATGTGTGATCGATTTTGCTTGCCATTATTACCTCTCCCGATCTACAGATCCAGAGATCAAAATGAGCTAGAATTTCTCAGAGATTGTACTCCTGCTCTGATACCATATCAATTTGTTGATGCAGAACAATTGATAGTGAAAGATTGAAGAAGAAGAAGAAGAAGAATGTTATTGAGAGAGATTCCTCCTCATGTCTTTTACAATTTTGTATATTACTCTACAATGTACAAACTACTCATGTATATATACAATCAATTAGCTAACTAACAATGTTAATGCACCAATCATAAAAGGACAGCTGGCTAACAAACTAAGCTTAACAATTAACAACTAACAACTAACTAGTTAACTAACTAATTGAACTTTACTTACTTTAACTAACTAACCAATTCAACTCTTATCAATACTTTTATCATATTCCACAATACTATCTACCTTGCTTTATAGCCATAGTATGAACATTATAATTTGTTAATTGTTTGTTATTGCGTATTCTATCATCCATGCCTTGTTCTCTTAATTTTGTGTTTATTATTTTGTGATTTTGCGATTCATAAGGTAAAATGATAGTTCCTAGTGAAATTTGGAAGATTAAAGTTAGGAATACACATGAGTTAACATGAGTAGGGTTCGTCTGCGGATAAATTAATGGCTATGATGAATACATACGTAGTTTAACCTACTTGACTTAAATTTATAAATGCATTCGAATTGATTTAGCTATTATACCCATTCAATATGATGTAATTAAAAGGCTAATCTAGGTAGAAGGTTAGACGCTCAAGAAACCATGACCATATATGTTATCAACCCTATGATTTAACAAGTTAGTAGATATTGTAAATCAATTTAACAATGATTAACAAATATGATAATCGAAAGCACCATAGCCCTAGGATTTAATAACTTTGTGAACAACTTCTATAATTTCATTCTCATTTACTCTATTACTGTAGTTATAGTTAGCACTTAAAACAAACAAATAACTCTTTCTTGAACTACATAACACTGGTTGTCATAACAATAATAGTTAAATAAGTAGCTTGTTAACAACTAAGTCCTTGTGGGATCGATAATATGATTGTTTACACAATCACTTTTGAGACCACATATACTTACATGTACGGATGATCACAGCTACCTTGAGATATCCTACCACATTAACTCAATACCTCTTTCAGATTGATATGCTATCTGTTACAACAAATGAAAATATTTTGATAGTGTAAAAATCATCTTTACTATGATGCACATTACTTTGAATTTTTTTTGTAAGTTCTGTGGGGTCCATCCCCATGTACCAAACTTTAAATAACTTTGTGTCAATTTCAAAGTATGGTAGAGCTGGTAAGGTATGAAGAAGCAAAAATTGTTCTCTGCCAATTTCAAAGTTTGGCAGAGTAGGTAAGCTATGAAGAAGAAAAAATTGGTTTTCTTCTGTAGCACATTTGGAGGGTAGTGTATTTGTTCTCTATAAAAGGGAGGACAATTATTCATTCTATATGCACCAAAAATAATTACAAAGGAGAGAAAGAAAAGTGAGGCATCACAGAGGAAAATAATCTGTGAGAAAAAAATAGAGAGTGCGAGCGATATTGTAGTGAGGTGGAAAATTCAAAAGAGTGTTATTTCTTTTGAATGTGTAGTGGTCTTTGGAGTTTTACTCAGACATACAAGTGTAAAATCCTTACTATAGTGATATTCGTTGCTCCTCTTGGGTCGTGGTTTTTCCCTTATTTAGGAGGGTTTCCACGTAAAATCTTGGTGTCATTATTTCTCTTTTGTTCTCGTTGATTAACCGTACTGTTGTGTTCCACATTTATTGCCTTTATTACCGCAAATATTATTTCTGTTACGGATTTATTCCCAACAATTGATATCAGAGCACATGTTCTGCTCATTTACAGAAATATTTTTTGCAGCTTATTGTACTATACTCAATAAAAAAAATGTCTGGAGTAAAGTACGAGGTAGCAAAATTTAACGGTGATAGCGGTTTCTCAATGTGGCAGAGAAGGATGGAAGACTTGCTCATCCAACATGGTTTGCACAAGGCACTAGGCGGCAAATCCCAAAAGCCCGAATCCATGAAACTTGAGGATTGGGAAGAAATGGATGAAAAGGCTGCTAGTGCAATCAGATTGCACTTAACAGATGATGTAGTTAATAACATCATCGATGAAGAGAGTGCATGTGACATTTGGACAAAGTTAGAAAATCTATACATGTCCAAAACGCTGACAAATAAATTGTACCTAAAGAAGCAGTTATATGCGCTACATATGGGTGAAGGTACAAATTTTTTTGTCTCATTTAAATGTACTTAATGGACTAATCACGCAGCTAGCAAACCTCGGAGTAAAGATCGAGGATGAAGATAAAGTCATAGTACTCCTAAACTCGCTGCCATCTTCCTACGATACTTTAGCAACAACTATTTTACATGGTAAAGACTCTATTGAGTTGAAGGATGTCACATCAGCCCTTTTGCTTAATGAGAAGATGAGAAAAAGGCCTGAAAATCACGGACAGGCTCTAATCACAGAAAGTAGAAGCAGAAGTTACCAAAAGAGCTCAAGTAACTATGGTAGATCCGGAGCTCGTGGAAAGTCCAAGGTCCGATCAAAATCGAAGGCCAGAAATTGCTACAATTGCGATCAACCAGGACATTTCAAAAGATATTGTCCAAATCTAAAAAGGGGCAAAGGGGAAAACAGCGGCCAAAAGAATGATGACAACACAACTGCCATGGTGCAAAATAATGATGATGTTGTTCTCCTCATAAATGAGGAAGAAGAATGCATGCACTTGGCAGGTATAGAGTCAAAATGGGTGGTCGACACATCAGCATCTTATCATGCCACACCGGTAAGAGATCTTTTTTATAGATATGTAGTCGGTGATTATGGCAATGTGAAAATGGATAACACAAGTTACTCAAAGATTGCGGAGATCGGAGACATTTGCTTAAAAATAAATGTTGGATGCACATTAGTGTTGAAAGATGTGCGTCACGTACCTGATTTGCGGATGAACTTAATCTCGGGAGTTGCTTTGGACCGAGATGGATATGAGAACTACTTTGCAAATAAAAAATGGAGACTCACCAAAGGGGCATTGGTGATTGCAAAAGGAGTTGCTCGTGGCACGTTATATAGGACAAATGCAGAAATATGCCAAGGTGAATTAAATGCGGCTCACGAAGAAAATTCTGCAGATTTATGGCATAAAAGAATGGGTCATATGAGCGAGAAAAGATTGCAAATTCTTTCCAAAAAGTCACTCATCTCTTTTGTCAAAGGTACAACAATAAAATCATGTAACTACTGCTTATTTGGTAAACAACATAGAGTCTCATTTAAGACATCATCCGAAAGAAAGTTGAATATACTTGATTTGGTATATTTTGATGTTTGTGGTCCAATGGAGATAGAATCGATAGGAGGTAATAAATACTTTGTTATCTTTATTGATGACGCTTCTCGAAAATCGTGGGTTTATATCTTATCAGGTGTTTCAAGTATTTCAAAAGTTTCATGCTCTGATAGAAAGAGAGACATGTCGAAAGCTAAAATGTCTCCGAACCGACAATGGAGGTGAGTACACTTCAAGAGAATGTGAAGAGTACTGTTCAAACCATGGAATCAGACATGAAAAGACAGTTCCTGGAACCCAACAACACAATGATGTAGCTGAGAGGATGAATCGCACCATTGTTGAGAAGGTGAGAAGCATGCTCAGAATAGCTAAATTACCCAAGACATTCTGGGGTGAAGCAGTTCGGACAGCGTGTTATCTTATCAATCACAGTCCATCAGTTCCATAGGAGTTTGACATTCTAGAGAGAGTTTGGACCAACAAAGAGATATATTACTCGCACCTAAAGGTGTTCGGTTGCAAAGCTTTTGCACATGTACCGAAGGAGCAAAGAACCAAGCTAGATGATAAATCAGTTCCTAGGATATTCATCGGATATGGAGATGAAGAGTTTGGGTATAAACTATGGGATCTTGTATAGAAGAAGGTCATCAGAAGTAGAGATGTAATCTTTCGAGAAAGTGAAGTTGGAACTGTTTATGATCTATCCAAGAAGGCCAAGAAAAATAATGGTATAGTCCCTAATCTTGTTACCATTCCTTCTTCTTCTAACCATCCCATAAGTGCAGAAAGTATGATTGATGAAGTTGCTGAGCATGAAGAGCAACCTGATGAGATTGTTGAGCAGGGGAGAAACTTGGTGATAATACCGAGCAAATGGAGTACCCAGAAGAAGAACAATCTCAACCTCTAAGGAGATCAGAAAGACAAAGGGTAAAATCAACCAAATACCCTTCCTCAGAGTATGTCCTTATCAATGATGAAGGTGAGCCAGAACGTCTTAAGGAGGTGTTGTCTCATCCAGAAAAGAGCCAATGGATGAAAGTCATGCACGAAGAGATGGGATCTCTACAGAAAAATGGCACATACCAGCTAGTTGAACTTCCAAAAGGAAAAAAAACCACTTAAGTGCAAGTGGGTATTTAAACTCAAGAAAGATAAATATGGCAATTTGGTGAGGTACAAAGTTCGATTGGTTGTAAAAGGCTTCTAACAAAAGAAAGGTATTGAGTTTGATGAAATTTTTTCACCTGTTGTCAAAATGAATTCTATTCGAACTATTTTGAGCATAGCAGCTAGTCTAGATCTTGAAGTGGAGCAATTGGACGTGAAAACTGCATTTCTTCACGGAGATTTGGAAGAAGAAATTTATATGGAGCAATCAGAGGGATTTGAAGTATCTGGAAAGAAACACATGCTGTGCAAATTGTACAAGTCTTTATGGGTTGAAATAGGCCCCAAGGCAATGGTACAAAAAGTTTGACTCTTTCATGAAAAGTCAAATGTACACAAAGACCAATTCTGATCCATGCGTATACTTCAAAAGATTTTCTGACAACATTTTTATTATTTTGTTGTTATATGTGGATGAAATGTTAATTGTAGGATAAGACAAAGAGCTGATTGCAAAGTTGAAGAAAGATTTGT